GAAGCAATCTGGCTTTCAAATGAAGCCAAGTTTCAAAAACACTTGAAAGGATTTGAAGTAACTGAAGAAAACCTTCTTCCTATTATCATAAAAGGAAAAGCACAAACACAGCCATTCTACACCCCACTCTTTCAGGTGATTTCTGACTACCACAATGAAGGCAACACATTTTGCTCCTGGTTATTTAGCTCTTTATTAGGGGAAGAAAAATAAGGTAAAAAAGCACAGTAAAAGATGCTTTGTCATCAGTGCCTGGTACACAGATACTTAAAGCAAGCACCTTTCCACAACTATGCTTGGCTGATAATTCCTAACACTTCCTTTTTACCTTAGTATACTTAAAATAGGCATGCAACAATACTTAGTAGCTACTAGTGAAATTCAGCTGAGCACAAAGCAATACAGAATACATTTTTACATCTCTAGGTTGGCCCAACAGGACTTTGGCAGAATTCAAAAGCTCTTCAGGGACAGAGTCAAATAGAACTGGGAGACCCACCTAATTAAGCACCACTAACATGTTGAATATAAAGTAGTTAATTTCCTGAAAAATAATTCAATTAATCACACTCTTATTAAGAAGGATGTATTTTCTTCTCATCATACAGGCACACTTGTACTGTTATAACACACAGGGAAAAAAAGCATAGTGCTTTCTGTAGAAAAGGTTCTGTATGGTTCTGCATCTGAATTCTGAGGAAAGAAGACTGACCACAAAATTTTATTGTCTTTACCCGACAGTCATTCCTGCCAAACTCTTCACTGCAGCCTCAGATTACAGATAAAAGGAGAAAGGAAAAAGATTACCATAAATACAATTTAAAATATTCCAACTCCGTGACTGTTTTGGCAGGGGCGGGTGGAATGAAATCTCAGGAACAAAGTTGTCTTGCATGCACACTTTAGTGACAAATGGAAATGAGTATACAGTAACATGTTCCTAAAAAGATTTGAGTTAAAGAAATCCACAAAAATTCTCACAGAGCCATTAAACAGAAACTGAAACAAGACAGCTGATGAACAAAAATTAGTCCCTTAATATGGAAGAGAAAAAAAAAATATCCCTTTAACTCTGTAAAGAGTAACTGGAAAGAGCAAACATTAAAATAAGAGTATACCACAGCAGAGGGGTGGTAAGAAGTAGAAATCTAGATCAGACACTTAAAACAAAATTCACTATTCCAGGCTGCAAACTTGACCCTCCATGCCATTATTTATTAGCTGGTACTCTACCACAGAACATATGGTGGGGGAGGGCAACTGTCATATTACACAGTTGAAGCCTGTTTTTAACTCAGTAACACTGTTTTGTTCATTCACTGGAGACTGCATCAATGACCTAAAATATATTTTGATTAGCTGTCCAAAAAAGTTCCTGAAGTCTTTTACTGGCAGCTCAACAAAATTAACCTGGGGGGGGAAGCAAAAGAATGTCTTGCTGTAGTCTTACAAACTTCCTAAGACACCAAAACCACCTGGTAAACATCCAGGGAAGGAGGCAGCTATATTTAGTTATTTCAGGATCTGACTGCATCTCTGGAGACTTCATTCATTTCACATGACAGGAGAAATAGTTAAACTAAACCCATATTCAGGACCACTACAGCACCACATTGGCAAGTCCATTCGAATAATTACTGCATTAGCCTTTAGCACTAGCAGCAAAGCATACAAAGAAAAAAGAATGCTGCATTCATTTTTTTCTGGTTACTTTACCAAAGCTGAAGGAATCAAACTGAACACAAGACAACAGGCAGCAAAATTCACCCTTACTGTCACAGGCAGAGATTTTGACTTTAGCCCCATTTGCTCAATTGAAGAACACATTATTACACATGTAAAATAACAGCTTTCAAATACAAGAAATACAACAAATAAAGCAACTTGGTGCATTATAAGCTACATAATACATACGTCACCACATGATGTTTCAATTAATTTGAAGTAAATTTTGTTTTAATGAGAAAGAAAAGGATTTCCCAGGGGTCTGCACACATTATCAGGCTGCTGTCATGACTGAAAAGGCCCAAAGACTAAAATTTAGAGAGGATTTAATCCTGTGGCCTTTAAAAATAAAAACTTAGGAATTTGGGGAGGTGAGTAAAATGTGCTAATGTTTATTTTTAGGAAACTTTTTAATTGCTCTGAAACACAGGCATCTCTCATGCATCACAAGGGCATAACAAACTACAGTAATTCAAGATAGGTCTTATTTAGGAAAAACTAATACAGATTTTCACATTACACAGCACTATACTCCACTAATTTTACCACTGTTAAAGAATTAATCAGCTATATTGCGTTATATAGGGTGTGATTGAAAGCAGGCAAGGCAGCATGGCATTGTTCACAAGCTTGCATGGTGCCTCCAGTGTCTCCGAAGCAGCATTTAGGCCCAGAATACACAGAATGACATCAACAAGTTATCTGAGAAACTTGGCTAACACTCTGAAATAAACCCTGTAGCTGTCCACATCAACCAGTACAAGGCAAACTGTGCACACTTCAGCTTAAATAAGGTTTGTAAATAAGAGAGATCTGCCATAACAAGTCATTTTATTCTTTGGAATTACTTCAAGTTTTAATCTAGCCATATCCCTCTCACCTTTATAGTCCAAAGTGACTCAATTCTATAGATGATACCTAGCACCATAAAATTCAGTGTTCACTTATTTCTCCATCCCTTGTTTGGCAGAGAAAGAAACTAATGCTGTGAAATTACAGGAAGCTAAATCCAGATACCTGTGCATATGCATAGCATTCTATGGGCTCACTTATTTACAGAGGTGAGAAGTACATTGGCTTAAACACACTCTTAAGAAAATAAAGCAAAATAAGCAAACATAAGACCTAAAGGCTAATATATTTTACCATCGTTTACAGTCTGTAAATACCTTCTCAGAAATAAATCATGTGAAATGATAAAATATTAAAACTGAAGAGACACTGTGCCACCTACACTAAAATTGCTCTAAAGAAGATCCTGTCCCTCCCATTGAAGGATTCTTCCCATGCACCGATGATACTCCGCTACTACTACTGGTGGACTACGTCAACTACAGATTTAGAAAAGAATTATGGAGGAGAAAAATAACTAACCAGGGCACTGGGTTATTTTCCTTCCTAAATTCCAAGCTGAATGCGTGCAATCAAAAAGGCTCATCTCCAACTGCCCAGCACTATTATAATCCCTTAATAGCAAGACATATTGTTCCATTCTCTTGTTTTTCTTTTGCTAGCTAAATAAATAGAGAATTTTGCACTACCATTTATAATTAAGGCCATTTAGTGACCAAAAGTGTTAACATTACATCCTTTGTTACAATTCTTCTAAATTATGTAACTGAAAGACATGTCATTTTCACATATTCTAGCACCTAAATGGAAAAAATAGTTTAAAAGAGGAACCTCACACTTTTCCCCCAAATGCAAATCACTTGTTACAGAGGAGGGGAAAAAAGCCAAAGATTACTTTCTTGTATGTAAGAGATAGAGATAAGCATTTTAAATGATTTTAGAAACAGACAGACAAGATTATAGGACTATTGCTGTGATAGCTTTTGCACAGGCTGCCTAAACACCAGCTAGAAAAAACAAGACAACAGAAATACCTATCAAAATGTAACTAGTTCCTAAAAATGAAAAAAGACCCATATACAGAATAACTACACGTAGACAGTTAACATAATTGAGTCTGAAAGCTTACAGCCTTCCTCATGATCCATAACAATTCACCAGGCTGTGAAAAAGATTTAAGATAAATACTGTCTATATTACCAATTCCACACTAAATCACTTTCGTTACTACTCTTCCTAAATTTGTCCTTTTTGCCGTTTCCCCCACTGTTCGTAATAAACGTAGTCTTTGTATAACTATGGGACTCAATGGTTTTATGCTAAGCACTAAAAATACCCTCTTCTTGTTCTTTTTTTTCCTCCCCTCTAGAACTCCAGCCTCTCAACTCGGGAATTTAATCACCTGTCAAACAAGTCACTACGGCTTAGTTTTTCTAAGCAATTCCACTCTCCTCAGCACCTCGCATCTCAACAGCCGCTATGGATTTATTGGGAAATACAGCTCCGTAAACTCAAAACCCGACTGTTTCCAGTCAGAAATAGCACAGTCTCCTTCCCTCTCCTCCCGACTCCTGCGCACAGCTGCCGAACACAAAATCCTACTTGCAGTACGACACAGCTGTACGTTCAATCTCCTTCCTCTGGACAAAACATCCTCTAGTTTACACATTACCGAACAGTTTCCCCTCCCATTCGCAGCGCACCTTAATGCGGTGTACAACTACTTGAACAATTTCCACCCTCATCTCCTCCCTAACCGACCCCCGCTCGTTTTCGCCGGCGCGTACGACAGACAGACTCCTAGGAAGGATTTTTGCTGTTGTTTGTTTGTTTTTAAGCGTGCTGCTGCTTACCCAACGTGGCTGCCGAGAAGCAGGACAAAAGCTACTTTTCCTCCCCGCCTTCCCAGGCGCACACGCACCCCGAGTACAGAAGTTGGCCACTCGGACGAAGCCGCTCTTACCTCAGTGCTCCCCGAACGCCAGGGCCTCGCACCCCACCCTGTCTCCCCAGCGCACCAGCCTCCGGGCAGACCCCGCTGGCCTGATCCACAACGTCCATCCTCTGCTCCAGCCACCGGCGAACAACTCCCGGGGAGGCTCCGGCCGCGGGGCGCTCTCCCACCGGCGGGACCCCGCACCGCCGCCCGCGCCCCTCCCCCGCCCGCCCCCCGCAACAACTTCCCCGCCAGCACCCCCCGCCCCGCTCGGTGCGGCACAGCGGCAAGGGGACGGCGGAGCGAAAACCTCCTTCTCTTCCCCCCGGCTTCAGCCGCCCCCCTCAGCGACTGCCCCCGCCCGTCACCCGCTGCCCCTGCCCCGACCCCGTTCGCCCGCCGCTCCCCACCGCCGACCCTCGCCGCCGGGCTGCGGGAACGCGCTTCCGATCGCCCCACAGAGCCGGGACCCCCCTCGCTCGCTCACCCGCCCGTCCCCTCGCCGCTGCTGCCGCCTCCCCGCCGGGGCTCCTCAGGAGACACTGACACCGGCGCACGGATACCCGCTGGGCGCTATTTTTGGGAAACAAGGCCCAATCGGGGCCGGAACTACTTCCTCTGTCACACTCCGAGTGGAGCACAGCTCTCCCGAGAGTATCCTTCCGCACTTTTCTCCTGGCAGCTCGGACGTCGCTGAGGGCGCTCAACCGAGACAGGCAGTGACAGGACAAGGAGGGAAGCGGAGGGGAGTACGAAGGGAGGCTGCACCCGGCTGCTGGGCTGGGATCACGGCGGTCTGAGCTCCCAGCATCGCCGGATTATTTTTTTTCGCCATGGGGAGCGGCCGGGTCTACATTCTTCACCGCCGACCCAGTCCTGCGGTTCCGCGAGCTCATAGGGCAGCGCGCCCTACCGAAGGAGCGGAGCCACCAATCAGAGCGCCCGCCAGGACGAGAGGCGCCCGCCAATCAGAGCGCAGTTGGTGGGCGGGGCCTAAGGAAACGTGGAGGGGTTGAGTGGCAGGAGGGCTCTCAATCAGAGCGGCGCCGAGGGCAGCGGCAGCCAATCAGATCCGAGCATGTGCGGGCCGACTGCGGAGGAAGCCCTCGCCCGCCCCAACCTTGGGGGCGGCGCACGCGCACAGGGACCCGGTGACGCACGTAGCGAGGCCCCGCCCCGGCAGGGAGGGGCGCGTGCGCCGGTGCTCGTGCCCCGGCAGGGCAGGGCAGGGCCGCGCCGTGCTGAGGGGTTGCCGGGGGCAACGGCTGCGGCGCGGCCTCACCGCGGCCTCGGGCCTGCCCCCCCGCTCCACCAGCACCTGAGGCGGAGACGCCTGAGCAGGAAGCCCCGGTTAAGCAGTGCAGGCAGAGGGAGGAGTGGTCCCTGCTCTCCTCTCTCTCCAGCAAGGCAAAGCTTTGCTCTTCGGTTACAAAGTCACATCCTCGCGTTCATTAAAACAAGTCTCAGTACGTGGTCACCCATCCTTTGGCAAGATCTCATCACCAGAGGATGCAGGAGACCAACACCAGGCACCAACTGCAAACAGCCCAGCTACCTCCGTCACCCTCACAGGCACCACCGCCTCCCTGCTCTATATAGCGGTTTTACTGTTACCTTCTGACTGTCCTCTGAGAATCACTGCTCTATGAGGACATGAGCTCCATCTTCACATTTCAGGCTCAGGTGACAGACGTCCACCTTGGTTCTTCCATCTCATGTTATCTTTGTCAGAGTTCCCATTAAGTAGAAAAGACTACTTTGGAATACATAATAAAAGACATAAAATCGGCGTATTTCTCCTTCACATAAGGCAGTGATTGAAGAATTAGCCAAAAATAAATTTTTTTATGATAAAAAAGGTACTCACCAAAAATCATCCGCACTCCACAGCCTCTCCACAGTTATCCTGCAAGGTTCCCGCAGCCTCGGAGTGAAACAATGGGAACCATTTCCAAACACTAAATCACCGATAGAGAGGGCTTATCGCTGCTTCAGGACACGAGGATCAACAGTGCTTTCTCTGGAAAGTGGAAAGGGGAGTTCTTTATATTCAGAAGACCGCATCATGAACTGGGTACAAAAAGAATAGCTCCACACATGGTGAGAAAATAGGGTGCAAGAAAGGATGACAGAAAGACCCAATCCACCAATCTCCAGCACTGGAAGGAAAAAAGGTTGATCCTGCAAGGTCATTCCCCAAAAATGAATGTCAATTTCTGTTATCCAGTTTCCAAACATTCACCTTATGGAAGCAGGCATTCACAGCTCACAGAAATCTTGATGTTCAGGGTTTATAATGTAAAGTTTACTCGGGATTTAAATATATGGCCACTAAATAAGTTGAACAAGTTATCAAACATCCACCTTTCCCTCAAAGCAGAAGTGCAGGACTTAGGATTTAGGGTTTAGGAAAAAACTAATAAGAAGTGTGAAAAACAAATAACAAAATCCAAGTAATTGTCACCTACTATTGTACTTCCAAACTGATTCTTACCTATAATAATTAGGAAGAGATTTAAATACATAGTTTCCTTACAATTCTCAACATGAACAGTCCAAATGTTATTGATTTTTATATGAACATGGCTTATTCCCTTCTTCCTCACCATGCTTATCATCCATAATATCTGCAAGGTCTATTACTAGCATTTAATGATCAATACCATGAAATCCTCTTATGACAGCAATATGCTCAAAAGATGTTAGATAAAATCCTGAACTCTTTAAGTTATAAAAGTCAGTGGGAGTCTGAGTAAGGCACCAAAGCAAGGCCTAAGCAAGGACTTCTTCTCATTATTTTCAGTATGTAATCGTATTGCTCTAAATCGGCAAAAATAGAGCAGAAAGCCAAAGAGATAAATAATTGGGTCTAATCTGTCCTTTTCAGTGGCACTACAAGAATAAGCATAGCATGTGTTCCTCAAGGGATTGCAAACAATGGTTATGGGGTACACAGCAGCGTCTTTCCCACTGAAGTGCATTCCTCCCTCAATTGAAATGCTGCCCTCTGTAACAATTGAGAAAAGGAAGTGCAAAATATGGCATCCAATTGAAATTACAGATGTTGTTTTCCACATGCGGTGATGTGCCGCTACATCTGCTTCTGCAGACCCCTCTTGGGACCACTGGTGAAAAAGAATGTGTGGTGGGGAGGTCACAGATATTCTCACAGGTCAAAATAGCATAAATGAAAAATACCACCCCTTAGGGTGACACGAATAAAATCATACAAAAATTTAGATACCAAGATGACTAAAATCATTACACGACTTAATGGCCATGTTCTGCATTACATTTATTTTCCAGGACAAATGCAAAGGCCAAATGCACCTGGGTAATGCAAAGGATGCAGAGTTGCAGGTTATTAAGAAAAATCCAGGCTACAGAGAAAAAAATTACCATCTTTCTAAAACCATAGAAGCAGCAACATAACAAAGCCCCAGAGAACATCACGCTTGAGTGTCAATATGACAAGTGAGAAATTATTGCAAGCATCTGCTAGGATCACTCTTGAGAGAGAACAACCGCTGAATGCATTTCTGCCCCTCTTATGTACAACACAGAGACAAAAAGAGAACCACCTGAAATCTCTTCTCTTGGTCAGTAACAGGCAGTGTAATTTCCATGCTTTCCAAAGAGAAATAAAGGCACATTAATAGCTAATATAGAGAAAAATAGGGGTGGAAAAAGTCACTTAGTATTCTTAATTTTAACTAAATAGCCTCACAGTTGAATAGAGTCATCATCCAGCAGTTGTTATGGCAATAAAGCTTTCCCTTGCATCTCTATTCCACCCACCTATTCAAGGTATTTTGGAGGCACTGCCACTAACTTTTAACTTACGTTTTAGGACCTTCTTAGAAACCACTCCAGAGCTGTACCATGGCTGTTCCTCAGGCCTCCTTTCAAATGTTCCTTATATTCCAGAAATCAGGTTTTGTGTCCTGGAAAAAAATGCTTAATCTTATGCTCTTAAAGGTGAACTTTATATTAAAAAAAATAAACCAAATTCAGGACTTTTAAAATTATAGAGGAGTAGGGGATGTTCTGTAGCTTTTGCCACACAAGTTACCCTTTGGAGGGAAGGAGGGTCTGTGAATTAGGTTTTAAGAACAAGGTTTCTTAAAATCTCAGGCCAGATCAATTCCTAACATTGTTCCACTTACAATGGTGGAAATACTCTATGAATGAAGATTTTGTAAAGGACTTCTTATTGCAACAAAACCAAATTGTACTTGAAGTGTTTCAGGATGAGAACTTGCATTGGAAACAAAGGATAGGAGCAGGGGGGACACCCACCTAGGGAGCAGGAAATCAGAGAGGAGCAGATAATGGTTCCTTTCCATTAACACTCCGGGTAACCCTGTTAACCCCATGATGACCACTTCAGTACAGACACAGCTGTTCACTCTCAGAAAGCTGGCTTGGAACAGAGTCCCCTGACCTCCCTGTCTGAGGCTGGAATTATTGCTGTTACACTGCTGTTTGCTTCTGGTGTTCCACTAAATACAGATATAATCAAGAAAAGGTTTCCTTATTTTAGTTAAGGCAAAATTGCCTGACAATGCATGAATTAAAATCACTCAATCCATTTCATAAACTGCCCTCTGTAAACCACTAGTATTTCCACATCGTTATATGGTACATTCAGTAATCTGATTGCCTTGGGAATATTTGTTTTTCCAAAACTTGTGGCCAAGGTACATAAGATTAGATCAGACACAGCTTGTCTAAGAATGCTGTAATGTGGGTGTACAGTAGAGTTGCCAGGTTTGAGTTACAGGTAAAAGTTCTCTTTCAAACTTTTCCAGCCAGGGGCTCAGTTATCTGAAGTTGACTGTTGCAGCGTTTGGCACTTTTCGCTTTGCTTTGCTCTTGGCCTTCTAATACTGGAGGATCAACACGGGAAGTGTTTGTATTGCACACCTCACCGACTGCACGCCTGATCCTTACCTCAGCAAAACTTGGGATGTTTTCTAGGTCCTCACAATGACAGAACACAAGTCTCCCCGGGATTCGCGCTCTTCTGCTGGGATTTTCTCACCATTCCGCATGTTAACATGAACCAACAGCTGGGTTTAAGAGATCTGATATAAATAGTAACATCATGCTGCGAGCAAGCTTCTTGGAAAGTAAAGAAAATATGTTATTTAATGCACTCTGACATTTGCCTTTCCTCCCTTTATTCCTAAGCTGCATTTCTGTAAACACCCATAATGACAAATGTAAAGAAGCTGACTTCTTCATGTAGACATAACAAGTGCTGCCCTGAGCCCAGGAGATGATATCCAGAACAGCTTACCTGTCCCCTCAGCCAGACAGCTGGCAAATTCTGCACAGTAGAAAAAGGACTCGGAGCGTGGATGGAAATTCCTGCTTCCAACAGCATTCAAGATTACAACCTTTGGTATTTTATTTTCTTGGTCGCTCTGTGTTGCTTCAGAAACTTCCTGCTTTTGCCATATCTTTCCATTCATTAAAACTGCAGCTTGCAATTAAACATTCTGACATAACATAGCTGAGATTTTTTGGCAGCAGCCTTAACCAGAGGTTTTCAGAGTTTCCTGCAGACGGCTTTAAATTCTCATATCCTCATGAATGCTTGCCACCTTCTTTTAATAACTTGAAAAAATCAGCCTCTCTTAGGAACTTCATTGTTTCTGTATTTCCCCAGCACTCATTTACTGCTTTCAGAAATGTGTCATGCACATGTACATTTATAGAGAGAGCAAAGTGTACATATGCACAGTATAGTTTGACATCTT